GGGGTGGGGGTGCCTAAATCTTCCACATACCAACCAAAACTAACTAACTGCTGATTGTAGGGGGTGGGGTAGGGTGCTTGTTAATTCTCTGATTTGTATCTAAGGATCATTGAGAAGTGTGCCTAAATTTGAGGGATGCACCAGACACACCAAACACTTGGCCGAGAACCAAGTGTTTGTTAGTTTGTCTTGTAGACATCCAGCGTTGTCTACTTTTAAAGCAGAAGTAAAGTCAAATTAAAAAATACATAAATAAAAGATCCCCCTTGTAGATTTTAGCCATGATGTGCTTGTATGCACAGCATATCGGCACAATATGGCAGACTTACCTGCCAAATCTATCCCCTCCAGTGCTGTGCTCCTCTCCCAACGGTGCTTCTATCTTCCTCCCAGTCTTCTTCCAGGCTTCAGGTCTTCAGCTGCTGTGCAAGGTGTTCTGTAGAAAACTCCAATTTCTCGAGATCTCCAATGACGTCACGTCCGGTTGACTTCCCAGTAAGAGGTTTGGACGAGTTGGCTCTAGTGCACGTGCGCCACCTGCAGCATTTCCCTATATACATACCAGACAGCAATAAAGTATTGTAATTAACTACGGCCAGACTAATCCAGCACGTTATTTATCTGATTTGCCCCACTCTATATGACCGACGCTTGCCTGACTCTGGCGGCCATAGTGAGTCAACTGGATGTGACATCATTCGAGATCTCGAGAAATTTGATTTTTTGTCAGAACACCGGGTCTGTGTGCTGAGCTGAGCATGCACCGATCTGTGTACAGATAAAAAAAAAAAATGCTGAAAGAAGACTTACACAATATCCTCTGCCATATAAAACCTAGCAATCGCTAATTTTTTTCCCCAGAAGCTTTACTTTTGCTGGAGTAATGAATATAAACATGATTTATCTCTTTTTTTTTTCCTCTTTGTGCTAGCTCTTTTGCCGTGTACAAGAAAGTTCACAGGTTCTATATAAGCATCAGCAGAGTAAAAACTTCAAAGTGTCCCAACATGCAGAAAATGAAGTGGATCCCTGTACAGCACTCAGGCACTATGCAGTAAGTCCTATTCCTAAACTCACAATAAGGTGCAATTGAACGTATATATTAGGGATGTTCAGATACCAAGTACCGTACTCGGTACAAGTACAGATACTTTTCCAGCTCCAAGACTAGACTAGAAAAAAAATTCAAAAGTACTGATACTTGTCCAAGTCCTCACAGATACAAGTACTGATACATTTTGGTTTATTGTCATGTGACAGTTTTTCTAAAACAATACAGACTAATGATTTCAGGACAATGGTGGAGCGCCAGAGCCAGGTCCCAGCTGCAACCGCTGAAACCCTGGTAGAAAACGCCCAAGTATGGGAACTGGTATCTGGACATCCCTAGTACAGATACTAATGATTATAGGGAAATGGAATCTCATTGAATGCTATCGTCAATTTTCTTTTGCATCTCATCAGTATTATAGCCTTATCATATTATCACTCGTCACAGACGAGTGGACGAGTGGATTTTTCGAGCCCTGTATATATATATATATAATGTGTATATGTGTATGTGTATATATATAATGTGTATGTATATATGCTAATATATTTTGCAACAGCCATCGTCATTCTTGTATGTCAAGAAGAGAACGGTTGTTTTTTATTTTAGTATTATTATGTAGTGTTAGTATTTATCTTTGTACTTTGTTTTAGTATTATCTGATGCATTGATGTATAATGCCTGAACGCTTGCATCTTTACAAAGATGCTAGCCAAAAAAACTATCCATTACTCTCCAGACTTTCTGCTTTTGTCTCCATGCTTCTGTAAAACAGTTTTTACCATATTAGAAATATACAAGTTTGGCTTTTGGATTACCGTGACATACTCTAGTGTGTGGTTCTAGAATTGGCAGGTAGATGGCGCTATACTTGTATATTAGAATGCATAGATGGGACTATAGCAGTAAAAATGATAGAATAGTTTCAGCACATTGCTTGGGCTACTATGTATAGTGTATACCTTAGTTTGTACTATTTGCTGATGCCCAGCATTGTTCAGGATTTTGGCCATAGCCACACGTGTTTATCTCATCTTGTATTTTATCATGAGTGGATACAGTTGAGATGTTAAAGGTCCCGTTCACTCAAAATTGATATTCTGCTGGGCTGAATGGTTCACCAGCTTCATACATTCCTCAAAAATGGTGCTATACCTACCCTCCATTGTTGTCTCTTCTTCCTGCTGCAGTCATTATGAAGCCAAGTATGTGAGTCTCGCACTTTCTTCTGCAATCTTCTGGCAGTTATCTGCATGGAGTTTGTATGCTCAGTTTTCTCTGAAAAATAACTTGGAAACATCAATTAAATATAATTCATGATTTAAGATTGATATGCACTTCAAACAGCTGAAGAATGATATTAAATCAGAGCGGGGGAAATTAATAACCCTTGCATTGAGTCTACTCCTGCCCTGCTATGGTTAAGTGCTCGTTTTGGTCTAGGGAGGAAAATAACAAAGTTATGCTCTCCAAATACTGTGAGCTAGCTGGCTGTGACAGCTGCCTGTCTCCTTCTTCACTGCAGGAATGTCACTTGGTGTCCTCGCGTCCTATACACAGTGTATGTATTTCATTAATGTGCATGTAGATGTGAAACACGCAGATGGTTTGAGATAAAGCATATTTCACAGCTAGAACCATTCTGCAAAGAAAAGTGGTAAAAATTCCTAAATCATGAAACAATTTCATGTAATGACTGACAGGGTGCCCAAACCTTTGCACTTGGCACATTGTATGTTTCCTATTCAGTTCAGTAAATTAGGGATGCACCAATATATCGGCCGCTGAAACATATTGGACGAAAATGGCACTTTTGGCAAAATGCCATTTTCTGGCCGATACAGCATACAGCGGTGCATCCATTCTTTTCTCTCCTCCTTGCTGGGCGCTGCTCTGTGTCCCAGCGCTGAGAAGATAAACTGTCACAGGAGGCCGAGCGCACCGCTCGCTCAGCCTCCAGTTGTCAGGAAAGAGAGCGAGGTACAAACACTCAGCGATCAATGATCACTGAGTGTTTGTAAATAATTGAGGAGATAGTATGGTTGCTATATCCTCAATTATGAATGGCAAGTGATCTACATCACCTCCTGTTCATTCATGATTGTGGTTATAGTAAACACACTCTGAACAGGAACACTCAGTATAGAGGATTCCTGTTAATTTATAACAGGGGATGCAGAAGAAGAGATTGAAGACCTTGTGTCCTCGATCTCTTTTTCTATCTTAAAAGGGAAATATCAGGAGTGTGTTTAGACCCCTAATATTTCCCCGAAGCCCCTAACAGTAAAGCAAAACATTTAATAAAAATGCATAAATAAAATAAAGTGTATAAAATATAAATAAAAAAATATTAAAAAAAAAAAAAAGTTAAAATAAAAAACATTCTCGGTTTCGCCCTGACATTTGTTTCCATTTTGGTTTCGTAATTTTCCTTTCGGTGCACCTCTACAGAAAATAAAGAGTAACTGTACACTGTAATTTTGTAGAAATGTATTATATCTAAGTTTATGATTTCCATAGTTTGTGTTAACTGCTTTTTACATAATAATACTAATACATGTCATTTCATAAGTGACACACAAGTGTGTTTGTAAGTCAACCTCCTTATCGCAACTGTTGTGGTCATGTTCTGGTTGTGCTGTCTGAGAATGTGTTTGCTGCCTGTGTGCCCTTTCCCCCACTCCGGTGTACTTACAGAGGAGTTTTGTGTCTTTTGTTTTCCAGGAATTCATGTCCTCTATAACGGGTTATCTTTTCGAGTCCCTTTTTCCTGGTTCATCACATCCTACAAGGTTTTCAGCCTTGACAATATTAGGCTCCATTGCGGAAACATTCCCAGATGTTCAAGGTGAGCAGTTGTGCTCAATTCTCAGAAATGTCTTTTTTGTGTACAGTGAATCTATGAGGAGAGAAATACAAGACTGGTGTTTGCCGACTTGTTTTTCAAAGGTGAAGGCTGTGGTGCTGTCATTTTGATCCTGGCTATAGCACCTATGGTGTGGCTGCATTGGATGCAGAATGAATGTGCAGACTTAACTGGCTGCTGGCTTGTTCCGTGACAGTAAGGTAGTGGAGGGATCAGGATGACCGTCCCAGAGCAAGCACTATTTAAAAAGCGGTAAGCAGTGGCCAGCTCCTTTTTATTTCTGACTTAAAACATTTAATTTAAAAGCCTCACAAATTATTTTAATGGACACCGTGCATAAAGATTTACACTAGGGGTGCAGGGTGACTAAAGGGTATGTTCAGGCATTTTAAAATCTAAGCCCCAAACCTTCACCCTTTATACCATATCCCAGCATTATTTTTTTTAACCTTTCCTTGTTCCTGCAGTGAAAAACAAGTTTCAATACCTCCCGTGATGTAATTGCCAAGTTTATAAAATTCTTGCAGAGGCAGCTGCTGGCAGCTCAGTTTCTGCTGATGTAGGCATGCCTCTAGAACTACATCTCCTAAGAGCCCTTTCTCTGCATAGGCTCTTGGGAGTCAAGGCAACAGCATTATTTTGGTCAAAACTTCACATATATCAGGCATGGGTTGGGGTGGGGTTTTATAGGCCTTAAAAAATTAGGTTAAAACGTTGAAATCTTTATTGCAGCATTAAAATATCCAAGTTAAAAAATGTTTTTTTGGTCTTAAATTGCTGGTATACACATCAAACAGTCCAAAGTTATATTTATATAATGTATACTGAGGCACAAGTGTATTATTCTAGTCACTTCAGAAATGATAACCACGAAGGAATGGTGGTGTAATAATGGCCGCCTCTCTCTTTTTGCTGATGACTGCTTCCTCAGCAGGATACAAAAGCACTTGTGAACAAGCCAAGAGCCAAATGGAGGAGGGGG